AAGCCCTGCTCCAGCTTACTTGGGGGTACCCCCAGTAGAGTGACAGTTGTAACAGCAATAGAAGACACATCTAATCATTCCCCAAATGAAATTGAAAATTCCTCCATGTGAAGTAACAGCAAAGAAATATCTTTGTTTTTATATCCAAGGTCAGATATATTCTTGTAGTAAGGAAAGAAGAATAAATAGACCCAATTTATTTCTTTATATCGATTTTGTGTGACTATTTCTTTTGAAAAAGTAACTTAAGCTGGTTTCATTGATCAAGACACAGGGAAAAACATGCAAAGTCATCTTTTCTGTTTACTGCCTGCAATAATGAAACACAAATGTCAGAAAAAAAAAAAATACAAACGTCCATGGTAGATAATCAAGCTTTTCAAATAATCTGAAATCAAAATATAAATTCCTATCTTTCCCGAGGACCACAAATTTTAAGTTAGACCATTTCTCCATAGGAATTAAATGCAGTCTGATCAGCACAGTTGGTAAATATTTCCAAAATAGGAGCATATGAAGTATGACAATAAATGTAAAATTGGAGGTATCCTGTTAAATCTTAAAAACTGAAATTCTTTTTATATTAAGAATTACTGACATACCAACTACTGCAGTTACATCCTGCTATAGTCTACCTTGATCATGCTCTTAACACAAAGAACATTTTCATTTTAAAAGATACGTGTGCACAGCAAGCCCATGGAAACCTCAGCAATGTGCATGCTTTAATGGCAAAATGACAAGTTTTCATTTTCTCTTAGTGGTTATTAAGAAGAAAATGTACTGAGTGATTCACTGGACTTTTGATTCTGGTTGGAGGGTTGGCCTTTGCTAAAACTGATGCAGTAGTATATCTTTCATCAACTACCACAGCACTTTGTCAGGAACAAACTCAAATTTTAGTTCTAAAAAACTTCATGTTTGTATTTCACCAGATAACAAGGTGGTGGTACAAAACCGCCACCTCATTTAGTTTATTTTCTAGTAGAGAAAAACCATAAGTAAGCAAATGAAGACTATAATCTCAGATATAAGTATTATAAATTTAAAAGAACAGCACATATCTCAGATGTATTTTACCATACCATCTCCATCATAATCCTCCACCATGTGAGCCTGTTACTCTAAATCATAAAAGTGTTGTAAATCAATGCTATTTCAATTTTTAAAAAGTGTAAAAGAAATAAAGCATGGAAAAGAGAAAGAGAATGACTAGGCATATATTCAAACGTGTGAACCACCAAGGCCTCTCAGAGAAGATAAAACTTGAGCAGAGAACTAAATGAAGTAAGCATCACAGCCATCTGAAAACCTAGGGATATGATTTCGAGCAGAAGAAATAGCAAGCACAAAAGCTCTGTTGTATGAATAAACTGGTGTGCTCCAAGGACAGCAAGGAGAGAGTGGCTGAAGTGGCAGGGGTGGGAGAGGTCAGAAGATGAGGTTGCTACGGCAGCCAAGGGCCAGTTCATGTAGGACCTTGTAGACCAAGCTTCCTGCTGAGAAGTGGGAATCTTATTTTAATGATGTTCAGTCAAAAAAGGATGCTTGAGCACAGAAGTAACAGAAAATGCTTTGTGTTTTTTAAAAGACCACTGGCTGTTTTGTGAAGAAGGTGCAAGAATGGAGACTCGAATAGTATGGAGACTATTGTAAAGTGCCGATGAAGAACAGGGATCTGAACTACAGTGCTCGTGTTCAGTGGTGTGGGGGGGGGATATATGATGAAAGCAGTATTGATGGGCCTCACTGAAGTGCTGGACACTGAGTGAGCGAAAATGAGAAGAATCAAAGAAAGGCCACGATTGCCACTTATGAAGACGTGGCAGAAGACACTATAGCCACTTGCGGGTGATGGCCCAAGGTGATCCTTCTTTCCTGGTGTTAGCTTGGCTATGCTCAGTCTGCTCTGCAGGGCTTTCTCAAAATTCCCCATTCTCTAAGTCTATCTCATTTGACCTCTTTTCCATCGGAAGTCAGAATCAGGACTCAGCTCAAAAGGGAAGACACAGCATAGAAAAGAATGCCCTGGGGGCACAGAAATAGTAACTGTACCTCAATATATACAGAACACTTAAAATTGATCAGAGGGGACAATCAATCAAAAGGAATTCATACTGGATACTTTACCCTGTTTTAGGGGCCATTGCCTAAGTATTAAACACTAACTCCTCAGAAACTAAAATGTATTTGGAAAGTCAAACAAAATGTACAATATATTTTAATTGCATACAAAATAAAAACTGATAGAACCACTATATCTAAAAAGTCTAGGAATTTTGTATATCAAGTCCCTCTCTGTCTTATAATTCTTAGCACAATGATGGGCATACAATACTCTAGATGAATTTTTCAAATTATCAATAAACTAAAGAGTCAATTCTATTGAAAATAGAAGTAGTTTATTTTATTACAAAATAGAACCAAATTAGGGGAGGTAGACATTATATAGACTTAAGATGATATAGACTTAAGGAAAAAATAAAAGTTACCAGTTTAAGTTATTCTGTGCAAAATAAATGTATACACTAGGCCAATTACTGTAATACTAATAATGAGATCCAGAAAAGAGCAACATGCTTTTTAATTAAAATAAAAATACACACGAACCAGTCTTGCCCTTTCTATCCATGTATCATTTCATCAGCATATAAAGTTTTGTCTTTTCTACTCTGTTCATCACCTGAGATAGACGTTCCATAGAAGGCAATAAGAGCCCCTGGAATTTCTACAAGCAGAGAAATCAAGACCACTAGTTTGCACTGTCCTTGCTCCCCTCGCTGAGTCTTGCTGTTATCCAGCACAGAGAAGCGGCCTCCATAGCTCCAAATCTCAGGCAGGTAGAAAGGTCAGTTCTTCCTGAGTCTCCCTGTGGCTATCTGGTAGGCAATTTTGAATATTCAAGACCCTCTGAGATAATAACAGGAAACTTATTTCCTGGAGAAGCATTATTCATGGCTTTGATCTTTGGCATATTTTCTATTGCCTGAAAGAGAAACAGCCAAAGCTATTTACCAAATTGTCAACTTCCTCTCTAAGCTGATTTTATCTTTGCCCTCAGCTTTAAACCAAATACAGAGGAAATGGACCACAAGTGGACTGACTTAAGAGTGAACCGGAGATATAAAATGGTTATGCTCACAGGAAAAATTCACCCACATAATCTGCGATGCATGTCACAATTTTGAAGTCAATCTGTTATAGGACAGGGAGAGGGGCAGTCCAAGCCCCGCAAACCTGCCCATTCTAAATGGGTTCTGCCATCTGCCGCATCAACACAAAACATATGAGACTTTAATGGGAAGGATCTTTAATAAAACTAGGAAACAATACAGGTAAGGCAAAGAGTCCAGTTTCTAAATGAAGCACCCAAAGTTACCCGTCCCCTCGTGGGTAAAAGTCCATCCATATGGGATCGGCCCAGAACAAGGCCCCAAAGCCTGCCACAAGTCTAAAGCATCTTCCAGTGGGGACCCACAGAAAAGAGTCAGAAACAACCAGACAAGCCCGGAAGGAAAAGAGCAAAATCAACATCAAGATAAAAGCTGCCATGGTCACCTCCCCACGGTCTCACCCACATCTGTGTCACCCAGTCCACGACCAAAAGACAAGCGCAGTTTCTTCACGTGTCTCTAGGCTCCATGTGCCTCCTCCAGGTCTCCTGGCTCCATCCTGCTTCCTTCCTCAGTCTCCTCTTCAGCTTCTCCTCTTCCTGCTCAGCTCCACCCTCCCTTGGGTGGGGCAGGGAACCTCCCCCTTTCCTGGGGACCACCCTGTTACAAATCCATTGTCACTGATGTAAGAGTTTCTTTTTTGACACATTCCACAAAATGCAAAATCTACTCCACATTTCTTTCCCTTTATCCCCATCAAACCAGAGCCAGATGCCTTGCTTATCTAGATTCATTCTTTCCAATGAGCACATTATTTCCAAAGTTTCTATATAAGAGCCAAAAGAGATTATCATTACTTGTGGGACCAGTTGGCCACCCTCACATTCTGCACCTTTGACAATGTTATATTCTATATTTAATCCTCACAGTACAACTGAGCAACTTAGGAACATGCACTGGTTTCCGGCAGGCGGGGATCGAACCGGCACTGCAGAGGCTGCGGACAGCTTCACAGTGTGATGCTCAACCACCTGCGCCACCAGGGGAGGCCCCCTCATGATTTTTTCTATGATTCACATAGCTTCCCATAGCCAGAATACCCTTTCCCTCCCCAAAGTCATAATAAACTTTTTGTCTCCATTTTCTTATTGCTATACCAATCTTCTGTTCAGTATCCTGATGTTAATCATAATCTATGAACATTTTTATAGCCCTAAAAAGAAACTTGTGACTGCCAAATTGCATCAGGAGACTTGGCCAAGGTCAGGAATTTCCATAACATCAGGAATAATCTAATTTTTAAGGGAGGAATTTTAAGTATCATTGTAATTTTAAATATAATTAATTAACCAATGTGCTACTTAGATTACCAAACCCAAGAATAAAATCACTGACAGTAGCAATTGAGCTGTAGATTTTTTTGGAACAAGAGGTGGTTTTCCGGTTTCGAGTTCAAACGATATATATATAGAAATCTTGCATGTGGCAAGATTTCTAATTATTGCTAATTTCACACTTTTTCAAATTTTGTGACTGATTTGTTTCCTCCTTAGTATCTCCTTTTCTACTTCTTTTTGGGAGGTTTAAGTTTCCCATTCATGTTATAATGTGAAGGTGCTCAAATCAGACCACCTAAAGATTCTCAGCAAGAAGACTTGCTCTGACATGCAGATAACATTGATCCAAGAATAATGAAGGCCTCAGAGATTGAGAAGAAGCTCTAGCCTCTCCCCTAACCTCTTCACCCTACCCTTAAATGAAAGAAATGATTGCTTCTCATTTGGATAACTTAGATTTGAGTTGGAGGGGGAGATGAGGGTATCATCCAGGTATGAGTTTATCAGTGAACATGTCCTCCCTATCTGAAAACTATCTCTTTCCTTTCAGAATCAAGATGAACTCATCGCCTCCTGTGAAGTCGCCTTCTCTCCTCAGCATCCCAGTCTACATTACCTCATCCCTTCTTTAGAATTTTTATTTTAATTTTTTTATTTTTATATTCCCCAAACAATTGCAACCCCTTTATTTTGACCCCAATCCCTCCCCCCCCGCCCCCTCCCCTCATAAAGTGTCTCTGGTTCATAGTTGTTTGTTGATTATGATTTTAACTTTCTTATAGATATTCATTTTCCTGGACCCTTATTTAAGTTTTCTAGATTCCTGCTATGAGTAAGACCATCCGGTATTTTTCTTTTTCTTTCTGGCTTATTTCACTGAGCATGATCCCTTCCAGCGCCATCCATGGTGCTGCAAATTGCATGTGTTTATCTTTTTTGAATGCTGAGTAATATTCCATGGTGTATATGTACCACATCTTCTTGATCAAATCATCTATTTTTGGGCATTTGGGTTGATTCCTTTTAACCCCTTTCTCCACCACAAATTACAGGACCTGCATGATCACTGTAGCTTCTACATATTTACATTATTAAACTTACTTTTTTTCACCAGTCTTATGAGGTTTTGACTATTCCACCATCAGAGAAGAACCAAGAGGGACGGGAATTTTTCCCCTGAGCCCCAACAAAAGATTCATATCTATTGAGGCATACTTTTAAGCTAATACAAGCTGACATCCGAAGCACTCTCATTAAATTCCTTTTGTGTAAGTACTGGTATGACAAGCTTTGTCCTACCTGAAAGGAATATCCATTAAATAAACAAAGAATTCGAGGAACATACCTCAACATCATAAAGGCAATATATGACAAGCCCATGGCCAATATCATTCTCAATGGTGAAAAGTTGAAAGCATTTCCATTAAGATCTGGAACAAGACAAGGATGTCCACCCTCACCACTGCTTTTCAATATAATACTGGAAGTCCTAGCCAGAGCAATAAGACAAGAGAAAGACAAGCAAGGAATCCAAATAGGGAAGGAAGAACTCAAACTATCACTATTCACAGATGATATAATATACATAGAGAACCCCAAAAACTCTACAAAAAAACTAATCAGTTTAGTAAAGTAGCAGGATACAAAATCAACAAACAAAAATCAGTAGCCTTTCTATACACAGACAATAAATCTAAAGAAATCAAGAAACCCATCCCTTTTATTATTGAAACAAAAAAAAAACATCAAATACTTGGGAATAAACCAAACAAAAGAGGTAAAAGACCTATACAAAGAAAACTATAAAACACTTAAAAGAAGTAGAAGAAGACACAAAGAAATGGAAAGGCATCCCCTGCTCATGGATTGTAAGCATTAACATTATCAAAATGGCCATCCTACCCAAAGCAATTCACAGATTCAATGCTATTCCAATGAAAATTTCAATGACATTCTTCAAAAAATAGAACAAATATTGAGGAAATTCATATGGAGCCACCAAAAAACCCAAATAACCAAAGCTCTCATAAAAAAAAAAGAAGGGAATGGAGGTATCACACTCCCAGACTTCAAACTATGCTACATAACCATAATAATCAAAACTGCATGGTATTAGAACAAGAACAGACACGCAGACCAATGGAACTGAACAGAAAATCCAGAAATGAACCTACAGATTTACGGTCAACTAATCTTTGACAAATGAGCAAAGAATATGCAAGGGAGCAAAGAAATTTTGTTCTATAAATCATGCTGGGGAAACTGGGTTGCTACCTGCAAAAGAATGAAGCTTAACTACTACCTCACATCACGCACAAAACCAACTCAAAATGGATTAAAGAACTAGACGTAAGACCTCTAACCATAAAATATATATAAGGAAATATAGGCAAAACACTACATCATATATGTCTCAGTAACATCTTTAAAGACTCATTTCCACTTCTCATAATGAGAAAAACTGTACTATATCTTCCATAAGGTTTTGCAGAGTTAAACAAAGTAATGCATGTAAAGCACTTAGAATATTGCCTAGGACTTAGTGCTAGACAAATGATTATTATTACAATTTGCAAATATACAGGCACCTACTAAGTGTGTACAGTGTTATAGCATTAGTAGCTGCTGCTATTATTAGCATTATGATATCATTGCCTTATCTTTAAATTAAGACAATATGTGGCAATTCAGAGCAAGCTATGGCGGTTCCAGTTGCTTTGACGTGCTGCTTCCTTAGAGGGAAATGTTAAGGGTCTCACCAAACAGGGATTTAAGTCATTAACAGTACTGAGGACAGTCCTATTTCATTATTTAAGACAAACAAGATAAGAAGTTTTTCTCTGGCTAAGTATACTGTGACAAAACCCATTATATCTCCAAACTAAATTGATAGTAAGGAGATTCAGATTTAAAGGCATGGTTTTGTGATAATTGAATGCTACATACACTGGGAAGTAATATCAAAGGATACACTAGGGTAGAGAAAACTTGCTCATACTTTTTTTTTTTAATTGGTAAATTGTTAGTATATGATCAATTGGATAAGATAAATTTTTGTAATTTTCCACATATGCTCTCAAAAAATGTGATTTGTACTTTACAGACACATCAAACAAAGCAGTGATAGTGAAGGCAAAGATAAACAGCTGGGACTACATCAAATTAAAGAGCTTCTGCACAGCAAAAGAGACAATAACAAAAACAAAGAAAAACCCCACCAACTGGGAGAACATTTTTTGCACCCAACACTAATGATAAAGGCCTGATCACAAAAATCTGCAAAGAGCTGATGAGAGTCAACAACAACAAAGAAAATAATCCAGTCAAAAAATGGGCAGAAGAGCTAAAAAGAAACTTCTCTGAAGAGGAAAAGCAAATGGCCAACAGGCATATGAAAAAATGTTCAACATCACTTGTAATCAGGGAAATGCAAATCAAAACTACCATGAGATACCATCTTACACCAGTGAGAATGGCACATATTAAAAAAACTAGCAACAACAAATGTTGGCGAGGATGTGGAGAAAAAGGAACTCTCCTGCACTGTTGGTGGGAGTGCAAACTGGTCCAACCACTATGGAGAGCTGTGTGGAGATTTCTGGACCTACTTAACATAGAGCTTCCATATGATCCAGCAATTCCACTCCTAGGTATTTACCCAAAGGACACAGAAACTAATTCAAAAGGGCACCTGCACCCCTATGTTTATAGCAGCACAATTTACAATATCTAACTATGGAAACAACCCAAATGCACAAAAATAGATGACTGGATCAAGAAGATGTGGTACATATACACAATGGAATATTACTCAGCAATCAAAAATGATAAACTCGTGCAATTTGCAGCAACATAATTGGAGCTGGAAGGGAACATGCTCAGTGAAATAAGTCAGATAGAAAAAGAAAAATATCAGATGGTCTCACTCAGAGGAATTTAGAAAACCTAAATAAGGGACCAGGAAAAAGACTAATTATAATAAAGTAAAAATCAAAATCAAAATCAACAAGCAACTATAAACCAGAGACACACTACAGGGGGAGGTGGGGAATAGGATCCAAACAAGGGGGTGTGGGAATTGTATGGGGACTATAACCAAGATGAAAATGCATACATTGTGCAAAAATGGAAAATGATGTAAAAAATATATAAAATTTTAAAAATTAAAAAAATATTTATTCTCTTGGCAACTTTCAAAAAAATCAAGAAAGAAATAATTTGTCCTATGAACAGGCCTCAGCCATGCCCTGTAAGTACCTCCCTGCCTCACTCTCAGTATTCCCTCTTACCATCTCAGTATTTCACTCTTACCATCAAATCTTTTCTAAATATTAGTTTCTTTTAATTCCCTAAGGTTTCATTGACTGCATGAGAGCTTGGGGTTATATAATCAGGAAAAGTGTAGAGGATATTGACCATAATCATCACTAAAATCAAACCATCTGCCTGCAACTCTGCCACATGCTGTTTTGTCCATCTGAAAGTAAATCTTCATTGAATCCCAGCACTTTGGAGCTAAACCTGTGCATTGCTGAGTACAACTTGGTATAGGTGTGACCATTTGGGAGATAACTAAAGAGAACTATTGGGCAGGGGACAGGAGGGAGTACTCTCCTGGCCTTTAAAATTCTAACAGAAAGTTTGAGCCAGAGGGATATTCTTTTGCAAGAACTTCAATGGGTTGCAAATCAGAAGGAGACATTTTAAAGAAATTTTTTAAGTTCCGTTAAGTCATTTTCTGACACAGTTTGACTAAAAATAACTACTAAAAACTTAAGTGTCAGACTTAGGGAAGTCATCATTGATTCAAAAATAGCTAAATGTACCAAGCCAAGGGAATACAGACTCCGGGAAAGCATATTGTGGGGAAGACATTTCTCCTTAGGGTTTGTTTGAATGAAAAATGCTCTCACTAAATAACTTAGCAGAATTGTTCTTTGTCTCTTAAAAAAGGCAACAGAGGTATCAGGACAAAAATCAGTTAGGAGTAGGTTTTGAACTCAGCTCAATGTTTTTGAATACCTACTGTGTGAGGGACAAAGAACAACTTCACCTATATAAACTTAGATACAAAAAGATAAACATAGGATTTGAATAGTTATAAAATCAGAAAGGTATTAAGAACATAAAAGTGACAGCTGTCATGAGACTCAAAATATTAAGAGATAGCAGGAAGAAAACCTTTTATGATGATATGCATTTGAGTTGTCCTTCAAGGATAATGCTAGGCCCTATCCCATAGGGGACAAGCCTGGAATCCCCTCAGGGGAGCCAGAAGTGTCCCTAAAGGTGTGTCAAAACTCCACCTGGAATACTTAGTACAAACACAATTATTCTGGGCCTGTGGAGACATTCACACAGGTTAATTGGTGAGGCATCCATGAATTAGCCATCTGTCACAAACTGTTATGTTCAACAGGATTGTCATTAAACCAGCAATGACAGTAACAGAACTTGCTACTAAAGAAATATTCTTTGAGTTCTTTGTTGGGCAAACTTTATTTCTGTAATTATTGTTAGATAATTTCCACAATTTAAAAATTTTATAGAATTCAGTATTTGGAATATCCTGGAAGATTTTATGGATCATAAACAATTCAAATACAATGACAAAGATCAGGAGATTAGGGTCACAAACTGGCTACAGGCCTATGCATCCTTAAGGCTTTTTTTATAAGTATATATAGTG